CAAAAACTGCATGAACTTGCACAAAAATTGAGTGTCCACAGACGTAAGACTCAATGAATCTCATCGATTAGTGACAAGAATTGTATTTCAATACATTCACAGCAATGAAATTCGAAATGTTGTTTTCGAGTACCATCGCGGCAGCGGCACACTTTTTGGAAATTCAACGCGGCGTGGGAGAGAAAAAAATTTAAAAAAATCATCGCGGCAGATTTCGGGCCACGATGGACATCTCTGATGTGTAACGATTAGAAAATTTTTCTCACTCAAGATACGAGAAACTCGACCTTAATGTATCGCAGTCATAGGCTCATCACTTATGTCATTATCGACTTTAATATTCACATTAATGTCATGTTTGGAATATATTATTATTGGTAGATTAGCCTTTGTTTTTCACAGATAATTATTATGTAGAGAACATGTTGTTCATATCCTCGAACTTTGAAGCTATGCTTGTAAAAGTGAAATTACGAATAAAATAATGATTTAAATTCATAATACTAATTCATCTAGAACAATAAACTGACTTTATCAAAGAATTAGTCTAATCCATTTATATATGACATACCATTGTATATACTTCGAAAGATAAAATATGTTCTTTTTGCATATTTTTGATAGTATGTAGTGTTATAAAATATGAAAGTATATGTTCTATTTTAATTTAATTCAAAAAATACTTTTGAAAAAGTTTTATCTTAATCATTTTGTGGATTATAAAAGTTGATTAAGGAATTTTTTTCAAAATTCTTTTTTCACCTCAAAGATTGAAGTCTAATTAAAAATCTAACTTTGTTCCATTAATAAAGGCTCCATCTTCTCATAAAAAAAAACACTACACTATTATTATGTTTATAATGACATGAAAAGAAATAAAGTATTTAACACTTCAACAATATAATGGCCCCTGGACCTTCCCTACAGCACTTTAGCCGTTTTAATAAAATTCTAGGCCGTAGCACGATGTGTAAGAAAGAATCAAGTGACGATATTTTACTCATAGATAGTTCCATTTTTGACTAGAATGTTTTCTTTCTGAGATATTCAATTTCCAAGATACATGAGATTCTCAAATTTTTCATCGAATATGAGTTATTTTCGGAAACTCAATATCTTGTAAAGAAAACATTCTAGCTATAGTTAGATCTATTTATAGACTAAAGCTCAATAAAGCAGCTTTTATTTTAGGGAGAAAGGCCTCAAGATACTTATTCTGTTGATTTTTCTAATACTTATTTGAACTTTGTCTTATGCACAAAGTGTAAACAAAAAAGAAAATTTCTTCATAATTTAATTCATCAATAGAAATAATTATTTGAAAAATATTAATTAATTATTAATTGTTTTTTTTTTATAGGTATTTTGTATTAATAATTGAATATCTAGTTGTATATATTCATATAAATCATGATCGTTCAAAAGAATTTAATAATTTGTTACATTCATATCTTGAAACCGTTCATTATTTATGGTCAGATGAACAACGTCAATTAGAAGAAGAAAAACGTTTATCATCAAGTATATATCGTCATGAAACAAGTGAACTTGAAAGTGAACAAGATGATTATGAATATAAACGTTTATTTCCGTCATTTGATTCGGATTTTCTTGATTTTCTTCCATTAAATGAAAATAATGATAATAATAATGAAAAAGAAGAAATAAAAGCTTCAAAAAATTCAATACTTCCATATTATCTTCTATATGAATATTTTTCCTCAATAATAAATAATAAAAAGAATTCTATAAACGAACTTTTTCAACCATTTTTTAATAGTTTATATGAATTTGGTGAAGATAATCGTTTAATAACACATATGATACGTTTATCAATAAAATCAAAAGAAACATTATCAAAATATATATTAAATAAAAATAAACCATTTGATATTTATCAAGATTCAAATTCATCAATGATAGTTGAATCATATTCAATAATTATTTCAATTGAACAACGTACAAATTTTCTATTAAAAACTCATGAAAATCATCCAACATTAATTGAAATTCTTCTTGTTATTAAACGTATTAAATCATTTTCAATTGAAAGTTCTATAATTAAATTTCTTTATGGTTTTGATATTCTTTTTACAAAATTAACATATTGGCAAGAAACATATTCATCAAAAACTCTTCAAACAACATATAATAATGAATTAGAAATTTTAACATCATATATAATAAAATATCGTAAATATGAATTTAATTGTTATGAACAAACATTATCAATGATTGATTATAAACAACGACAAATAACAATTGAAAATTGGTGGTTACATTTATTTGCATTAATTAATTCTAAAAATGATTTAATATTATTAGAAAAAAATCTTAATGAAT